ATCAAGTCACAGCTTATTCTCTGGTTCTGAAAAATATCAGCAACCTAGATTGTGTCTGCTGGCCAAAATAAAAAAGTCCTAGAACTCATGATATTCATTGTGTCTAAATTTTAGCTCCCAAATCATGATGCTAAAATACTACATCAAGGGCATTCCATCAAAATAACCCCACTCACCCTAGCAGTATTTAGATCTGCTGTTGATGAAAAATATCCCACCCACCACCACCTATTCAGACACCCACCTGTCAGCATCTTAAGAAGGAAAATTGGAGCTTAGGGGATTTATAGTGCTGCTGAAAAACAAAGCTAGACCCAAATTCCATGGCTATTATGTACTTTCTGTACTACCCAGAGCAACTCACATAAACTCGATTCTTTATTATCAAATTTATTGGGCTAACATTGTTTAATAACTTTACATAATTTCAGGTATACAACTTTACAATAGAACATCTCTGCAAAGAGTTTGGTAAATACAGGGTACCAGAGATAGACTATAGATTTGGGTGATGAGCACACAGACTCTTTGAGCCTCAGTGTCTTTATATAAGATAATGGTTGATAATCACACCTCACAGGGTTGTCATAAAGATCAAATGAAATAAGACATGCATGGCCCTTAGACAGTAGAAGTATTTAATAAGTAGCAACAGCTATTATCTCAGGATAAGCCCCATTAAGTGATCTGAGAATGTCTTGGTTAAAATTTAGTCAGCATACACTATAACCATGCACAGAACATAGGTTTTCTTTCCACAAACTGTACAAGAGCTTCTAAGGAGGCCACTGGGCCTTCTTACCCCATTATCTCCTCCCTCAGGCTCGCTGGGCACATCAGGGGCTCAACAGAGTCTCAAGAAACCTTCCTACACTTAAAGTCAGAATCGAGTTTATTTAAAGATGCACATTTAGCTATATATAGCTAAATATATATAGCTATATATAGCTTTCCTGTTGAATCTCATAACAACAGCTGGCACATACATGCCTGAATAGATCTGCTGAAACTTCACAGTATGACACCGTTCTCTATAAAAAGCTATCTTCTTTCAATAAGAAAATCACCCTTTTGTTTCCTGTGAATTTGTCACAGCCTAGATTCACAAAAGCCTGTCCTGTGCCATGTGAGCAGGGGTGGGGAGCGGAACAAACTCGGGCCCAGCAACCCTCAGAAGACAGCTGCTGTCAGGAAGAGCTCTCCATTTAAGAAGAGAATAAGCTGCTTGAAGGCAGAATTTACCAAAGCAACGGCTAGTCCTTCAGCAACTTCTGGGTACCAGCTGCTCTGTGTATGCAATGGTGGGGACTCGGTTTGCTCATTCACAGAAACAGACACAAAATAGCTGGGATAACCAACCAGGACAAAAGATAGACAGGATAGACGGTCAGCTTCCTAGGATATCAAGATGAGAAACGGCAATGATAGAAAGTTATCGGTCACAGTTCAGTATCTCAAGAAGCACTATCACGGAGCTGCCGATGACAAGGGTGTTAAAGGAACAGCCCAGAGGTGTAGTGCTACTTATGGAAGGAGAGGAAAGAGGGTCAGTGTGCCTGAGGAAGACCAGGAAAGACTTTACTGAGCATGGATGGTGTACCCTGAGAAAATGGCCACCCTTCTCTCAGCCGTGGAGGAGATCACACAGCGATGTGGAAGTGTAGCGAAAAACTGCATTTTCAGTGAAAAACTAAGCATTGTCTGCAGCATTCCCTTTCTCCTATCAGATTCTGATTCTATGTATGGAACCTACTTTACAACTCTTTGAAAATTGTAGCCAAGTACATACACGCTTACTCAATCTTGCCCAATAGTGTCAATTGACTTCCCTCCTCCTCCTGCCCACCTCATAGAAAAAAACAGTTTCATTCCTTTATTCAGAATTTGTACTGTTTTGACTTTTCCTCTGAACCAGTGTTAACATCTGCCTGGTTCTCTCCTATGAATAAAATAGAGTTCTTAACATGTGTCCATGTTTATATCTATGCAAGAGTCATGATATTATTTTTTTCCTAAAAATTACCCTTTAACAGAAGTCTTAGCTCCTTTCTGCTGGGAACTATGCAAGTAGCCCCAAGCCAGCTGACCATTCCTG